TAACATTGAATTCACATTATGTGACCAGATCAGTCACTGTTCACATTTTCCTGACGGCCAATTGCCATTCACACGTCGCACATGCACGCACCACAACAAACACCACAAACACTCCTGGTGCCATTATCAGCTTCACTATACTATTTTATTTATAATATTCAATATTTTGGAATTCTTAAAATATTAACCAAAATACTACTTATCATATGTAAAAAAAAAAAAAAGTTCATCAAGTCATTGTTCATATTATATCATTTGTTTTATAATTTAAAAAAATCTTTGTGTGATCATTTTTTTTTTTTTTTGAGACAGAGTCTCGCTTTGTTGCCCAGGCAGAGTAGTGCTGGCGTCAGCCTAGCTCACAGCAACCTCAAACTCCTGGGCTCAAGCTATCCTCCTGCCTCAGCCTTCGAGTAGCTGGACTACAGGCATGTGCCACCTGCCCAGATAATTTTTTCTATATATAGTTAGTTTTAGATATGATAATGGTATTCTGGTTATAACTTTCTGAACAAACACAGTCACAGATGAAATGATGTATGAGATTTACTTCAAGATAAGTCAGGGCTAGGGGAGGGAGCGGGGTATAGCTGAAAACAACTGCCCATAATGGTGACAATTGTGAATGCTGAGTGGCAGGTACACTGCTGTAACTATCCTGTTCTCTCTGCTTTTATATATAATTGAAATTCTCCATAATAAAAAGTTTTGGAAAAATCGATTTTTTTGTTCCGATTTGGTGAGAGATTTCTAAAACTTCTGTATCTACGTGTCTTATCTCATGAGGCTTTATGAAGATGAAATGAATGAGCATAATGAAATGAATGATTGCTGAAATGCTGTCTTTTATTATCAAGGCAGGCAGAGCAGAAAGAAGAGAGCAGGGAGCTTGAGATTTGAAATTCTGATTCATTATGTTTACCATCACTTTTGTATTGATGCTTTTCATCACCACTGCTTTCCCTCTCTCAACTAGAAGCTTCCTTTCAAGGTAGTAAGCCTGCCTGCCTTGTTCACCATAGTGTCCTCCCAGCCTAATGTCTCATACAAGTGAACAAACCTGAATTCAAGTCCCTGTTCAGCGATGCTGAACAAGGACTGAGAATGTTCTATTCTGTACACATCTCCAGTGCTGGAATTCAATCATTATCTGTGATTCGAAGGTCAGACAATTTATTTAACCTCCCTGAGCCTCAGGCATCTCATCTATAAAATGGAAATATCTATCTCAGGAAGTCTCACGTGGCTAAAAGGACTTTATGTGCCCATTTATTCATTTATTCATTCATCCGTTCCACAAATAGTTATAAATTCTAGCCCTACAAAAATTATGGAAAATCATTCCCATAAAAACAGAAGAGTAATAATAAAATGATGTAAACGTTAGGGCAAGCGCTCAAGCCTGTAACCCCAGTGCTTTGAGAGGTTGAGACAGGAGGATTACTTGAAGCCAGGAGTTCAAGACCAGGCTGGGCAACATAGCAAGACACCCCTCTCTACAAAAAAATTTTTAAATTAGCTGGGCATGGTGGCTCATGCGTATAGTCCTAACTACTCAGGAGGCTGAGGCAGGGGGATCAGTTGAGCCAGGGAGTTTGAGGTTACAGTAAACTATGATCGCATCACTCAGAGCAAGACCCTGTCTCTTAAAAGAAAGAGAGAGAGAGAGAGAGAGAGAGAGAGAGAGAGAGAGAGAGAGAGAGAGAGAGAGAGAGAAACATGAACTAAACACTCATTCAACAAACATTTATAGGCCGGGCGCGGTGGCTCACGCCTGTAATCCTAGCTCTCTGGGAGGCCGAGGCGGGCGGATTGCTCGAGGTCAGGAGTTCGAAACCAGCCTGAGCAAGAGCAAGACCCCGTCTCTACTATAAATAGAAAGAAATTAATTGGCCAAATAATATATATAGAAAAAATTAGCCGGGCATGGTGGCGCATGCCTGTAGTCCCAGCCACTTGGGAGGCTGAGGCAGAAGGATTGCTTGAGCCCAGGAGTTTGAGGTTGCTGTGAGCTAGGCTGATGCCACAGCACTCACTCTAGCCTGGGCAACAAAGCGAGACTCTGTCTCAAAAAAAAAAAAAACAAACATTTATGGAGATTCTGCTGTGTACTAGGCACCGTACTGCTACGTGCTAGAGATAACTATATATGTAAATATGCCTGAATCCTTGTTTTTCAAGACGTTTTATGTAAAATGGATGAGGACAGAAAGAAAGAGATTACAGTCCCAATGGCTAAGTGACGTATAAGAGTGCAACAGGAACGCAGCACCTTCCCACCAGGGCCATTTCCTACCCAAGTTGGTTTCAGGAAAGAAATCAGTTCACTTAACTTCCCAGAGTTATCAATTTGAATTCTCAAATTCAGCAGCCACCATGAAATGTTTCTATTTTACTTACCCATGGCACTAAGGCTATCGATTCTAAAGACCCCAGTGCAAGCTGGAAATCTTCCAAAGGAATTAGATCCTTTTGTTTTTCTGAGATTTTGTCAGAAGTCCAAACCTACACAGCCAAATGGAGCTGCTGGCTCGCCCAGTGAATACTAACTGCCAGCTCCCTTCTCTCAGAACACAATGCTCTTCTATTTCAAAGAAGCCCCCTTGGCTACTCGTTCCACGTCAATCAATGGCCCAATTAAGAAAGGACGTCAGACTCAAGTCTTTCGGATTCATTTCCAAACACAAGACCAACTTCTCCTCCGTTAAAAATAGGATTTAATGACTCAGGTAAAAACAATCTTTTAATAACTTACCTCAAATTCTTCCCAAAAGCCTTGTTTGACTTTATCTGTGGTCTCAGCTAATTTGCTTAGTTCTCGAACTCTGCTTTCTATTTCAGCAGCATTAATACGAGTTGTGTTGAGGGGCTAATCAAGTTCAGCAGTTGATATAAAATAAAGAAAATATTAAAGAAAAAGGTGTTAATGCAAAAAAAAAAAAAGACTTCTATGTCGATATTCATAAAGGCAAGAACCCAGTATTTCACAATAAAAATTTTTACAACAGTTTCACTTTTCTGTTCTTCCTGCAATCCCCACATATACTTTACTGTGTTGATATAAATTCACACCTATTTTTTTTTTTATAAATAGACCACAACATTATTTAGAGAGATGATACCATCTGTTACTATCATAAGGGTGAACTCTGAAATAACAACAACTCCAAAGTAAGCATAGTCACCTAAAGGTGACCAAAGGTGGATCTACAGTGAAAACTTCCTTTAAAAATTCTATAAGGCCTTTTACAGATACATACGGGAATAATATAACATCTGGCTTTGTTTCCAAACACTATAAGAAGTGGCCCATGAGTGGAGTAATATATAAATAAAGATTTGATGAGTTGATCATAACTGAAGCTAGGTGACGGGTATGTGCAGGCTGATGATATTAATCTGTCTACTTCATGTTTGCAAAATTCTATATTAGGATTTTTTAAACTCTATAAAGAGGAGCTTTAGCCTTCCAGTATATTCACCTGTTTGAGTTGCAGTACTGTGCCCAACGTTTCTACCATTGGGTTCTTCTTGTAATGTTCCACGAGGTCTGTCAAAGAATCAAACCGTTCTCCTCCACCAACATCATATTTCAGTTCCTTTCAAGACAAAAGGATGATGTTTAGGCCAGGCATGGTGGCTCATGTCTGTAATCCTAGCACTCTGGTAGGCCAAAGCGGGAGGATCGCTCAAGGTCAGGAGTTCGAGACCAGCCTGAGCAAGGGCGAGACCCCATCTCTACTAAAAATAGAAATAAATTAATTGGCTAACTAAAAATATATAGAAAAACTTAGCTGGGCATGGTGGCACATGCCTGTAGTCCCAGCTACTAGGGAGGCTAAGGCAGAAGGATCACTTGAGCCCAGGAGTTTGAGGTTGCTGTGAGCTAGGCTGACACCACAGCACTCTAGCCTGGGCAAAAAGTGAGACTCTGTCTCAAAAAAAAAAAAAGATGATGTTTATTATTTAGTACTTTTATGTTAAATTACTGTTTATCCCTCATTCCCACATTCACTGCAGCATTATTCACAATAACCAGTATATGGAGACACCCTAAGTGTCCATCAACAAATGAATAATACAAATGTGTTGGGTGGGGATGTATAAACATACTAAAAGCATAGAAGACCTTGACTACATGAGCAAAGAAAATCTAACTTTGGCTGTAACGTGTCTATCTGCTTCCAGCAGAAAGATCACCCAAAGATGACATTTCACTAGAGCTTTACCTGACAGCGAATCATGACATGGGTCACTTTAGACTTGCCGTCATTGCTCTCCCCTTTGTCGTCACCGGTGCGCACAGAGAGAACGAAATCTCCAGGGTGGCTCTGGCTCTCTCGGACAAGAAAGCTACCGTGCTTTCCTTTTTCAGTTAGTAATTTCTCCGCTTCTTTCCCAGAAAGGTGTCCATGGAACCACCTGTGTTTTTTGAAAAATGAAAATGAATTGAGTTCTCCCATGGGTTCACAACATTCTTTCACAAAACTACTATATATGTAATCAGCTCTCCTAAACACAATTAAAAAACAGGCATATTCCTCTGAGGGACTGATCAATCTCATATATGATAGAATTTGCAGCCTAAGCAGGCAGGAAAAATGACAAAGATTATTAAGAATGACTGCTAACTTTTTTTTTTTTTTTTTGCTAACTTTTTTAAATGAGCTCACAGACATTTGGAGACGAATATCCTCAATCTTCCTTGTTTTCTTTTAAATGTCCCATCTTTTCAAAATGCAACTTGCCACTTTTACATTGCCCAGTCGTAAAGGGACCAACTATTTAATCACAGCCATTTAAAGAAGTTAGAATAAAAAATTGTGATAAGACAGAAAATCATTTTGAATGCTCGTCATTGCTCTGGCATATAAACCCTATATTAAAAAGTATCTTCATTACAGTTAATTCATGCATTCCCAGTTTTTCCATATTTATAACCTATACTTCTATATCCTCCAATGTCTTTGAACTAAATACTGGGTTATCATCTCAACGTTAATGCACATAAGACTTGGAGTAGGGGTGGAGGTGTTTGCCAAAAATATGAATTCTCCACACACCCCACAACCAGAGATACCAATATGCTTAAGTCTGAATGAGGCCTGGGACTCTGCATTTTAACCAGGACACCAGACAGTCCCGATGTAGGCAGTCCAAGGCCATCCGAGGACAGACTTTGAGACAATACTCCTCTAAGTTACTATGGAAAACACCTTAACATTCATAATGTGGCTTTTTCCCTCAGGATCTTGGTAAGAAAGTAAGCACTATCATGGCAGGTAATGCTAATGATTCATCACCAAAAGAATATATTTTTGAGTTACTTTTTATCCATATTCAACTGAAAAAGAGTAAAGTGTAGAAATAAACTGCTCAGAATTAATTGGCTGACAGCTTTTCCTTTTGCTTGAAGCTACAGAGGTCGCTGGAGAAAAAAATTATCAGCACATAATAGCACTGACATAAAGGAGTAAGCTGAAAAAACATACCTGCAGATAGAAAATGTACAAACTAATTAAGAGACCCTGAATTCATACCAAGTCAGAGAGGAGGCTTGGAATGTAGGAAACCAATGTAATAAATACAAATAAGTCAAGCCCACGCTTTCATCAGCTGAATTCCAACACAAAGGGAAAGATCTCTAAAACAGTACAATTCCCTCTAAGCAAGGTCATTCTCACATAATTGTGGATCCAACAGAAAAAGAACTGATGAGAAAGCTGACCCTCTGAGCTCTCTGCTTTTCCACTGTTGAGCTTAAACTGACATCTGTTGGTGGCACTGCTGAATAACTGGTCCAGAGCCACCAGAGAGAACTGCTGCTCTTTTGGTGTCTCCATTATCATTTGTTTTCCTTTAATAACTCACTAAGATTATCAGCGGAAGTTCAGCAAGTCTTACAATTAACACATGGACCGAGTACATACAAGAATAGTATAGAGATCCCTGTAGGATGAGTGTAAGTTACCCTGATTGAAGCTTTTGCAAGAAAAGGATCCTCTGAGAATAATTTGATGCTATTATTCTTACTTTAATCTTATAATACGTTAAAGATTACAGGTTGAAAGACAGATATAGGCCGTTGGAGTCATACAGTCATAGACAGACCTCCATAATGCATAATGTATAGCACATATGGCACAAGAGATACGCAGACTTTGTGGCCACTAAAATGTCACTGACCTTTCAGAGGTAGGGTCTGCACAGTTCAGAGGATATTTAAGCTCAATAACATCTCCATTCTTCTCTTTTAATTGCCCATGGTGTTCCATGTAATACTGGACCAACTCAGCCAAGGTGGCAAACTTCTCCCCTCCGTACAGGTCATAATAATCACCAGTGTTCTGTATCTTGATGTGGGTGACAGCTCCATTTCTTCTAAAATAGTCCATTGGAAGGGGGGTGGGGGGACAAATAAAGAGTTATACTAGTAAAAATGGATCTCATGTTCCATATCAGATTTCACCTGAATGTTCAAACAAACCCAAGGAATGAATTTGCCCCTTCCCTGTAACAAAAAAAATGAGTGAAACAACCACACAGTGAACGAATTCAACACAAAGGGCTTTGTTTATTAGTTTCTTTACCTTGTCCATCTTCTTTGAATGACTGACCTGCCAAATTGCATATATTAAGTGACAATAATTGTTCCCATCATTAACTGATCAAGGTCACATATAATTAAAGTCAAAATTAAACATACACTTGCCTTATAATCCAATAAATCCACCCTAAGTATTTTGTCCAAAAGAAATGAAATTGAATAGCCACCAAAATATTTGTACAAGAATATTCATTGCATGTGTAAGATGAGATATAGTGGAAAAGAAAGAAAGAAAAAAAAGAAAAATTAAAAAAAATATATTCATTGCAGCAATATTCATAATAAAAAATGTTTCTATTGTTTAATCACAAAAAGGTATAAACAAATAGTTGCATACTTATACAATGAAATACCATGCAGCAAAAATTTTAAAAAAAATTGATACATCCAACAAAATGGATGAATCTCAAAAACATTATATTGAGAGAAAGCAGCCAGACACAAAAGAATATAAACTTTATGACTTCATTTACGTAAAATTGTATAAGCAAAACTAGTCTATAGGGATAGAAATGAGAGGAGTAGTTGCCTCTTAGAGTGAGGAAGACTGGAAAGAAAGGGGCACAGTGGAATTCTCTGGGGTGATGGAAGTGTTCTATATTTTGATTGGGTTGTTAGTGACATCAATAAATACATGTGTCAAAAGTGATCTCACTAGCCAGGCTCAGTGACATGCACCTCTCATTCCAGCTACTGGGAAGGCTGAGATGGAAGATCACTTAAGCATAGGAGTTCGAGGTCAGCCTGGGCAACACAGCAAGATCTCATCTCTAAAAAAAATGTAAAAATTGCAAAAAGAGGCCGGGCATGGTGGCTCACGCCTGTAATCCTAACACTCTGGGAGGCCGAGGTGGGTGAGTGGCTCGAGGTCAGGAGTTTGAGACCAGCCTGAGCAAGAGCGAGACCCCCATCTCTACTAAAAATAGAAAGAAATTAATTGGCTAACTAAAAATATATAGAAAAAATTAGCCAGGCATGGTGGTGCATGCCTGTAGTTCCAGCTACTCAGGAGGCCGAGGCAGGAGGATCACTTAAGCCCAGGAGTTTGAGGTTGCTGTTTGAGGTAGGCTGACACCCTGGCACTCTAGCCTGGGCAACAGAGTGAGACTAGGTCTCAAAAAATAATAATAATAATAATAATATGTGCTCAGCACAATAGCCTGGCATATGATAAGGCCTTGCTAATATTTGCTATCACTATCATCACCATCATCATCATCATCACATCATCTCCATCCAAACTCTTACAGCTCAAATGTCACCAGACGTTAGGTTAGAAGTCTGTAGTGAGACAAGCCCAGAAGACTTATGCAGGCCCCCACCCACTCCTTCTAGTGAAACAAAAGTAAAGGCCAGTGACAGGGACTTCTCAAGAAATTGATCTATGGCAAAAAGGAACTTCTCAAGTCTCGAAAAGATCCTCAATAAGTCCTCAGGAACATGTTTTACTTATCTCTTTATTTAAAAATAGTAAATTTACAGGTTCTAAAGAGTAAGACAAAAATCAAAACTAAATAAATAAACAAAAGTAGTAGTCATAAAAGCAAATTCATAAAGCAGTTCAGTTCTAGCTCCTAGAATGGGCTAGTGTAAGGAGAATAAGAGAAAGTCAATTTCTAGAAAAACTCTCCCACAGCTGCCCAAAGAGACATATAACAGGATGCTCACTATACTGTCCATAAAAATTTAGTACATACTGAAAACAACCCAACACCCATCACTAAGAGACTGGGTAAATTAATATGCTCATACTATTTTATAGCCATTAAAATTAATAATTAGATCTCCATGGACCAGCATAGAACAGACTTTTTAAAAAGAAAGTTGCAAAATGATGCCAACATTCTAAATCCATTTATGTGAATTTAAAAACACACAAACATGAAAATGTATAGACTGTTGTGACAACTAAAAAAAGAAAAGAAAAAAGAATTAAAAAAATAAATGAGTAAAGAAAAACACACAAACCGACTTTATCTTGTTCACATGCAGTGTAAGTATCAAAACACATTCAGGAAGAATACATGTCAAGAATAACGGTGGCTTCCTCTGGGGAGTGGGACTGGCCAGGGAGACAGAGGGGACCACAACTTCCTCAGTCATGTTTTATTTCTTGACAAAAGAAAGTGATCCGAAGGAATCCTTGGAAAGTACTTTTCCAGTTAAGAAAGCAACAGAAGGGAAAAGAAAAATGCAGAGACCAGGTTCAAGAGGCGTGGAAGCAGGACTGAGCCCAGCACTGCAGGGCTTAGGAACTCTTAAGGCCTGCCCCAACTCACCCTCAGCAGGGTCCCTCAGGGAAAAGAAATGTCCCCTCCTGCTGAATGTCTGAGCCCCTGAATGTCACTCAGAGGAGGCCACTCCCTGACTCCCTAAGCAGGCCAGTGCTCCAGCAGGCCCTCACGCCAGGGCAGCAGGCAGGCCTTCAAACTCTCCACGAGGGGAGCGAATTGTGCAAGTGTGGCTTTACCATTTCCTACCTGGAAAACACGCCCAGGATTCTCTCTCTTAATCCCAACTTACCTAACAGAAAGCGTGAAGTCTCCAGGGTTACTTTTACTGGGCCTTGCCAAGAAACTGCCATCAACTCCTCTTGTCAACAGTAGGTTTTCTGCCTCCACGCCAGTGATATTTGGGTGAAACCATCTTAGAAAAGAGAGAGAGAAAGAATAATAATAAACAAAGGACTCTATCCACACTACTTTCCAGATCAACACAGCTAAGATGCCTTATGAGTAGAGTCGCTACTAAAAATACAAATGAAGACCTTCCCTGTCCCTGTAACCTTTTCTCCTTGGTCACTGCCCCCTCCCTGCTCTCTGTTGGTAGGGCCTGGGATCTGCTGGCACAGTAGTGGGGGCTGGGGACCTGGTCAGAGGTGGGGGTATTAAAACAGGGCACTGATGGGACCAGGCCCCAAAAAACAAACCATGTGGCCAGAACGCTGAGCATATGGAATGAGACTGAGCAAAGTAAATAAATAAATTAATAAGCTACCTAATAAATAAGTAAACATACTGAGGATAACAAGCCAGGTTTTTCACCATTGGAGAGGAAGACACAAATCTGGGAAGGGAGAAAGCCAGATATACCCTGTGGTGTTAGACTGGAATTGGAAGTAGCAGTGCAGGCTCTAATTTTTAATATACCTATAAAGGCAGATATATAGATATAGAAATGGAAATGTATGCTTCTGTGTGTATGTGTGTGTGTGTGTGTGTTTATGAATACATACATTTCCTGGCTCTCTAATCTGAAGGGATTTGGAAGCAGCGACACTCCAGGCAAAATCAGCACATCTAAAACCCTTATCTTGGTTTCTAAATACCATTCTCCAATAAAACGAACTGGGCCCCTTGGAGAAGTGGCTGATTCCAGAGCTGGGGCAGTGAAAGTAAGAAGGTGAGCTTGGAACATCCTATTGTGTAAGATAAGAAACAGTTCCAAGAAGGACATGTCAAAAAGATACAGGAGCCAACTGGAAGAATCCACCACTGGCCAAAGTAGGGGCAATTTGCACCTCAAAATAAACAATGATGTTAACAGATTAGAACCCATTGAATAAAATAGGAAACCAAGAGTCTGTACAGATACTAATTTTTTAAAAACTAATTAAGGTTCCTCATAAAATTAAACATGGAATTACCATATGATCCAGAAAATTTCACTTCCAGTTAAATACCCAAAATAATTAAAAATAGGGATTCAAATAGATATTTTTCCACTACCCATGTTCATAGCAGCATTATTCACAAAAGCCAAAAGGTAGAAGAAAACCAAGTGCCCATCGATGGATGAACAGATAAACAACATGTATGAACCTTGAAAACATGCTAAGTGAAATAAATAAGCCAGTCACAAACAGACAATGCTGTGGTTTGAATGTCTGTCCCCTCTAAAACTAACATTAAAACTTAATCCCCAATGTAACAGTATTAAGAACTGGGGCCTTGGCCGGGCACAGTGGCTCATGCCTGTAATCCTAGCACTCTGGGAGGCCGAGGAGGGAGGATCACTCAAGGTCAGGAGTTCAAAACCAGCCTGAGCAAGAGTGAGACCCCATTTCTACTAAAAATAGAAAGAAATTAATTGCTCAACTAATATATATAAAAAAAATCAGCCGGACATGGTGGTGCATGCCTGTAGTCCCAGCTTCTGGGGAGGCTGAGGCAGGAGGACTGCTTGAGCCCAGGAGTTTGAGGTTGCTGTGAGCTAGGCTGACGCCACGGCACTCACTCTAGCCTGGGCAACAAAGTAAAACTCTGTCTCAAAAAAATAAAAAAGAAAAAAAAGGAAAAGCCAGTTGGGCCATCTCTCATGAGCCCCCTTGCCACATGATGCCCTGTACCACCTTGGGACTTTGCAGAGTCCCCACCAGCAAGAAGGCAATAGAATCACAAATAATAAATGTAAAAAAAAAATGATGGAATTAGAAAATCACCATTTGACACTAATCATATTAATAGTTCAGGCAAGAATCATCAATGGATGCTAAAACTAGTAGTTCAGGAGGGACAGGATATTTACAGCAATTAACTTAAAGTACCTCCCACAAAATGCTTATTAATTACTTGTTAATTAATAAGTAAAAAAAAAAAACCCACTAATGAACTTCACAGTGGAGAAATCTAACAAATACTTTCAGACAAACCCCAAATAAGTGGCATTCCACAAACTAACTGTCATGCAGGGGGCGGGGGTGTTGGCAAAGAACTATCCAGATTAAAGGCCAATCACAAGACCTAACAAGTAATACAGTGCATGACCTGGATAATATCATGGACCTAAAAGAAAGGAATGAAAGGAAAGAAGAGTTTTTGTTGTGTTTGTCTTTTGCTATAAAGGACATTACTGAAATAATATGAAAAGGATCTAAGGATTTGATGGTAGGATTGTTCAGTGGTCCCCAACCTTTTTGACACGAGGGATGGGTTTCATGGAAGACAATCTTTCCATTGATGGGGAGGGGTGGAGGGGGTTGTATGTACTGCAGACCTGTTATAATGTAAATTCCAATGATATATTGTGGTTCCGTGACCAAGTGTCCTTGTTTTTAGGAAATATACACTGAAGTATTTTGGAGCTCCGAGACATCATGTCTGCAACTTACTTTCAAATGTTGCCAAAAAAATTATATATACTATACATACATATGTGTGCATATATGTATATGTGTGTATGGGGGGGGTGTGTATACATGTGTGTATAAATACAGAGAGAGAAAGGCAAACATGGTACAGGTTGAGTACCCTAAATCTAAAATGCTCCAAAATCCAAAACTTTTTGAGCATCAACATGACACTCAAAGGAAATGCTCATTGAAGCATTTCAGATTTCAGGTCTTCAGATTAGAGATCCTTCAGTATATAACACGTACAAATAGAGCCCAGGCTCGGTGGCTCAAGCCTATAATCCCAGCACTCTGGGAGGCCAAAGTGGGAGGACAGCTTTATGGCCAGGAATTTGAGACCAGGCTGGTCAACAGAGCAAGATCCTCATCTCTACAAAAAATAAATTTAGCTTGAGGCCAGGAGTTCAAGACCAGTCTAAGCAAGAGCGAGAGCCCATCTCTATGAAAAATAGAAATATTAGCACCTGTAATCCCAGCTACTTAGGAGGGTGAGGCAGGAGGATCACTCCAGCCCAAGAGTTTGAGGTTGCTGTGAGCTATGATGATGCCACTGCACTCTAGCCCCGGCGACAGAGTAAGACCCTGTCTCAAAAATACATAAATAAATAAATAAATTTTAAAAATTAGCTGGGTATGGTAGTGTAGGCCTATAATCCCAGCTACTTGGGAGGCTGAGGCACGAGGATCACCTGAACCCAGGAGGTGGAAGCTTCAGTGAGCTATGATCATACCACTGCATTCCAGCCTGGGTGATACAGACTTTATCTCAAAAAAAAAAAAAAAAGATGAATATTCTAAATTTGAAAACATCTGAAATCCAAAACACTTCTGGTCCCAAGTATTTTGGATAAGGAATACACAACCTGTACAATGTTAACTAGTAAATTTGAAATCATTTAAAATAAATTTAAAATTTTTTTTTTTTTAGAGACAGGGTCTCACTATCACCCAGGCTGGAGTGCAGTAGTGTAATCCTAGCTCACTGCAGCCTCCAATTCTTGTGCTCAAGCAATCCTCCCACCTCAGCCTCCCAAGTAGCTGAGACTGCAGGTACGTGCTACCACATCTGGCTAATTTTTTTTTTTGTTAGAGACAGAGTCTCCACGTGTTGGCCAGGCTTAAAATGTGTTAAATTTAAAATACACACAGATGACAAAGTCCATGATGGATGTCATCTGCTTCATAAGAGTCCTCTCTGGTTCCCAGCAAGACTTCCTCCATGGAATCCAACATAAGACATCCAGATTTGTGGTAAGAGAATAATTTCTAAAGACTAATTATCCTGGATCTTTATAGGCCAATCCAATGCTTTTAAATGCTCCCAGGAACATAAGTCAATATTAAATGTAGCGTCCCAATACTGACAATCAAGTGAACTTTTAACAGACTTCTCAACAAATATTGACCCAATTCAAGTGTTTGGCAAGAGTGAAGGAGGAAGGGTGAAGAGCTATCATAAATCATGCATCACGGACCAGGAGAGCCACACCACACTAAGGTTAGGAGTTCCTGATCAGATAGGACGGGCATGCCTGGGCAAGGGAGGATCTCCAAGTTAGCTGGAACTACAGGCATGTGCCACGATGCCCAGCTAATTTTTTTTCTATATATATTTTAGTTGACCAATTAATTTCTTTGTATTTTTTAGTAGAGACTGGGTCTCACTCTTGCTCAGGCTGGTTTCGAACTCCTGACCTTGAGCAGTCCTCCAACTCGGCCTCCCAAAGTGCTAGGATTGCAGGCGTGAGCCAGTGCGCCCAGCCCTTGAAGAGCTTTATTAAGATATAATTGACATACCATGCAATACACCCATTTAAAGTGTACAATTCAGTTGTTTTTAATATATTCATGCATTGCAATGATAACAATTATAGCACATTTTCATCGTCTTGAAAAGAAATCATCGCCTCTAAAAGAAAGCCCTACCCGCTGGGCGTGGTGGCTCACGCCTGTAATTCTAGTACTTGGGAGGCCAAGGCGGGCGGAATGCTTGAGGTCAGGAGGTCGAAACCAGCCTGAGCAAGAATGAGACCCCTGTCTCTACTAAAAATAGAAAGAAATTAATTGGCCAACTAAAAATATATAGAAAAAAATTAGCTGGGCATGGTGACACATGCCTGTAGTCCCAGCTACTTGGGAGGCTGAGGCAGGAGGATCACTTGAGCCCAGGAGTTTGAGGTTGCTGTGAGCTAGGCTGACGCCATGGCACTCTAGCCCAGGCAACAGAGTGAGAGACTGTCTCGACAACAACGGAAAAAAAGATTCATCATCATTGTAGCATGTATCAGTACTGTATTTCATTTCTTTTCATGGCTGAATAATAGTTCATTGTATGGATTCTCAGTTTGTTCTTTTTTTAATTTTTTTATTTATTTTTATTTTTTTTTTGAGACAGAGTCTCACTTTGTTGCCCAGGCTAGAGTGAGTGCCATGGCGTCAGCCTAGCTCACAGCAACCTCAATCTCCTGGGCTCAAGCAATCCTCCTGCCTCAGCCTCCCAAGTAGCTGGGACTAC